GGGGGGAGTGGGATCTTCCGCACCACGGTGCGTTGAAAAACTCTCGCTCTCTGTCGTGCGCAGGTCATACACGTTCTGTCCGACTACTGCCTGCTCAACCTGCCCACCGCCTGGTTCGTGCTGGAGAAGGGGGCAGTGCTGACGCCGTCCTTCAACGAGCTGATCAGCCGCGTCGTGGAGGCGGGCATCGTCCAGTACTTGGTTGACAAGTCCGCTCGTTTCCTCGTTTTTTTTTTTAATTCCCACCCAGTGAGAAACAAGATGTCCACACGATATCCGAACGACGTTGAAAGAGAGTACCGTCGTCGTCACGGTGTCGTTCCGACATCGTTTCGACAGACATTCCTAACTGAGTAACCCCGCTCCTTCGCGAATGCCCCGCAGGTACTCCCCTATCGTCCGGAAGCGCCGCGTTCGCGACAACAACGACAAGCCCCCAGTGGTCCTGGGCATTGATCATCTGGTGGGAGTGTGGATGCTGCTAGTGGTGGGCCTGGAGGTGTCACTGCTGGCCTTCGTCGGCGAGCTGCTCGTCTTCCGGAACCGCGCCCGCGTAGACGCCGTCCTGGCGCGGCTCGGCGAGCACCGGCGGCGCGCGCGCGCTGGGCTCAAGCGCCGGCGGAGGGGCGGCCGGCAGCGACAGCGGCGCTACAGCCGGCTGACGGCGCGGCCGGAGTCCCTCGGCGACGTGGTGGCGCCCGCGCTGGAGCCCGCGCTCGCGCCGCCCCTCCGGCTGCCCGGGGAAGCCGCGGACCCCCGCCGCCGCGGTCGCGACAGGTGATGGAGTTTGAGTGATGGCCCCCCTCGTGATGAATCCCCGGGGCCCTCTCGCCCTCGCGCCCCACGCACAGGCTGATCGATCTCAACCCGGACAATAAACCCCTCGAGCACCATGTGAGTGCGCAATAGCAGATACACAGCCACGTGCCTGCACTGTAAATCGGGGTGTCCAGCAGGTAGGCGACAATGTCGCCTGACCCGCAAAACTTGCCGACTTTGTGTCGCCTATCTGCTGGACACGTTCTGGTCTTCCAGGCAATTGCATTGTACCGTACGAGTCCATAGGCATTCCACCCATTGTGCCCATCATGCAATTACCCGGAAGACCAGTAGGTGTCCAGCAGGTAGGCGACCTAGTTTTGCGGGTCAGTTTTGTCGCCCACCTACTGGACACCCCGGATTTACAGTGTAGAGTGCGACTACTACCGGTAGCTTATCAATGTGTTCTCCCAGGCTTTGTTTTTCCAAAGCCCCTCACCTTGTGTTACTTACCAGCAGAAGTCTGGCACTTCGTCGCCTCCCAGGTGTAGCATGGGGTCCGGGAAAGTGGCGGCCACTTCTCCGAACAGCTGCTTCAAGAAGTCCAGGTTCTCGGGCTTTGTGGGGTCAATGTTGGCGTAGGTGCCGTCAGGCCGCCCCAGAAAGTCATGGCATGCTGCGAGGAGCCCGGGACGACCCTCGCCCCACGACCGAGTGTGACCTGCCAACGCCGAGATCTCTTACAGGCATTTGAAACGGGCGCGAAAAGCACGGAGGTGCCAACGGTTAGAATGTCCAACAGCGAAAGGGTGCGGGCTGTTGGGGCTGCATAAACGTTTTATCCAAAGCGGTTATTCGTACAGTCGCTCAAATGTCGCTATTTTTGTCCAGCGACAACCTTATCACTGTGGTCAACATCGTGGTGGTCAATATTTGAAATTTTGGCTACGGTAGTTGATGCGGAGAAGTCACAAAAATAAACTACCGTGCCCCTAATTTTGAATTTTGATCACAATTAAGAGTTTGTCTCTGGAAACTATTAGCGTTTGGCGTTGCCACATCGTTTGGATAAAAGGTCTATTTCCCGCAACGGGCAGCACCAATCGGCAGCCACTCGCCTTACTCCTGACCTCACTTAATCTTACCCCTGACCTCACTTACCTGGCGTGTCGAACTCGGGCATAACGCGGATCCCTCTGAGGCGTGCGTACTGGATCACGTCGAGGACGTCCTTCGGCGAGTAGGTGAGGCTCGGGTGGTAGGCGCCCTTCGCGCTCAGCTCCGGGAACAGAGAGCTCTGCCAGGGGAAGGACTGGTCGTCGACAATGTGCCAGTGCAGCACGTTCATCTTGACGGCCTCCATGGCGTCCAGCTCGATCTTGATGTCCTCGACCGGCAGGAAGTGGCGCGAGGTGTCGATGAGGAGGCCGCGGTGCGGGAAGCGAGGGGCGTCCGTCACCAGGGTGGCGTTCAGTAACAGCTGACGGGGAGAAACCACAAAGTCGAGGGAGTACTTCTTCGCATGCCCCACAATGAACCTAAGTGATTGCTCCGGATTGCTCTTTTGAGACCTGGGTTCCATGGTTCCATGACATGATCACGGGGCAACGCGCCGGGTAGGTAGGCCCGCCACGCAGCTGTGTGCAGCCAGTGGCCCGCCCCCCACCCAGCACTCAGCTTGCCAAACGTTCCCTCAGGTTCACTCGGGGCCTCGGGACACGTCCATTTACAGCGTTACCTTATGACCATTGATGTTGTTCTTTACCGACCAACAGAAGCTTCGAGGACGTCCTCCTGACGGAGCACAACTTGCTCCTGGCTAGGAAGAAGTTCCTCGGCCCGCTGGCCGTGCCCGGCAGGCCCCGGCCCCGGGTCTGTGCCCGTCGCCGGGGGGACCCGCCCTAGAGAGGTACTCACAGAGGAGCCGTCGCCGCTGGGGCTGAGCAGCTGCGCGAAGGTCTCGAGGCCGCGGAGCGCGCCCCAGGAGCTGCGCGCCGTCAGTCTGCCGGTCGGCGCGCGGTCGGGGGCGTCCTCGTCCACGTCCACCAGCAACTTGTCTGTGGGGCAGAGGACGCGGAGGTGTGTAAGAAGAAGTACAACTAAAGCTACAGAGACTGCGCAACACGGACGACCGAGGAAAGAGGCGAAACGTCTGCCGCCTGAGTAGGGTTCAGTTTTAAGGTGAATTTTACGCCACTGTTTGGCCTTCTTTATTAGCTATTTTTTAGTCATTTTTCTTTTTTAAAATTTGACATTTCTCCACTTACATGACTCGTCCATGCTCGGGTAGGGCCAGCGCTCGCAGGCGGACACCTCGACGCGCAGGCTGGTAATGTAGCCACCGAAGAAGGGGTCGTTCCTCCAGCCGCGCAGCCGGCGGCCGGCGCGCTGCTCCTGGCGCGCCAGGGCCCGCCCCACGGCCGCCTCGCGCTGCAGAACGCGGGCGTACCGCGTCAGTGCATTCTCCAGGACGTCGCACGTCGAGCCGGTAACCTGGACAGGTGGAATGAACAGTAACCAATTTTGGTACACGAAAGATTGCAGAGAATGCGAGAAAATGTGTAAATATGTAAATAAACGATCGACGAACGGGATTGATTCCGCCATTTCCTCCTGCTCCAAGCTCACCTACAGGATAAGCCTAAGAAACGGGAAAAGAAAATTTCTCAGTGGGTTCCACTCATTTAAAATATTTATCCTTTGTATCAACGGAACCATGTCGAGAGAAATGTTGTCAGTTGTAAAAAATAATATTCCCCTACAATCGTTAAAATGAAATCAAAAATTCTTCCGACAAGGTCAGAGGAGTTCCATTGATTCAAAAAACACATTTGACGGGTTTCCATCGAATGTTTGACCACTACCCCACCCCACTACGCCGGCCGGCAGTTGGTGGGAGGGGAGGGGACCGCG